GCGGGCGCGAGCGGCGGGCTGCCGGGGCGGCCTGTGCACGGCGGCGGCGGCGACGGCGGTGGCCTGAGCCGCGCGGTTCCGCATCCGCCGAGTGTGATGAGGCTGCCCTGCGTCGGGGCTCCGCTCGCCGCCAGCTGACAGCGCCGGCACCCAGCCCGCCCGCGAGGGCTGACGCCGCGGGGCCGTGACCTTGGCCGAGGAGGTAAATAGGGGAGGTGGGAGGGGAGGAGGCGGTGCCTCCCCGCGCGCCCCGCACCCACCCTCGCTCGGCTCCCCGCCGCGCGGCCGCCCCGGGAGCCCCGCGCCCCTGCCGGGCTGCGGGCGCCGCGCTCGCCCAGGTCCGCGGTGCTGAAACTGCTGCCATTTGTGGCGCCCGGAAAGCCAGGCGGCGGGAGCTGGGTCTCGCTGCTCTCCTCCGCTTGGGCTGGTTGCTCTGAGGCTCCTGCAGCCGGGCTGCCACGCGCGGGGACCCAGGTAATGGCCCGAGGGGTTGACTCCCACCCGGTCCCGTGTTCGGGACGGATTCTGGTGCCTTTTCGCACAGACCGGGCACGATTCCCTCCTGACTTCCGAAGTGCAGTGGAGGGGAGGGAGCGGGTGCGGGCAGTGCCGGGCAGGTGCAAGTGGGCGAAGCTCCCCGGCTCCCAGAGGGAGACCCGGGGAATGAAGAGCGAGATCGGCACGCGGACTGGGCCTGTGCGATGCGCTGCCTGCGGGGAAACTAGCCGGATACCTGGGCGCGCGTGTGCCGCCGCAGGGTACTTGCCTTTCCGCCCTTTTGGGAAAACATCATCAAGTCGCTAGGCAAGTACTGGGGACCAGAGAACTCTCTGTAGCGCGGAAACGGTAACCGTGGGTTTTTTTTTAGGTGAGCCTCAAACACTTTTGAAAACGAGTGTCCAGAAGATCAAGTCACTTAAAACCACAGCCCAATGACTATTCTAACTGAAAGACTGTCATTCCTCACAAATCCCTGGGGGTACAGTAGGTGTATTTTCAATTTTTAAAAATCTGTTTCTGTGCCGCTTCCTCCAGCCAGCCTCTCGGCAAGTGTGCCCGGTGTGGGAGCTGTGGATAACGAAGACGATTCAAGTCAACCCCCTGAGCACCACCACTCGCGTCTCACTGAAGTCTCTCTAACCCTCTGCAGGGCAGACGGATCGTTCCAGTGCCTGAGAGCTGACCAAGTGTGGGGTGACATGGCCCAGGGGAATAATTACGGGCAGACCAGCAACGGGCTGGGGGATGAATCACCCAACATGCTGGTGTACAGAAAGGTAAGGCTTTCTTCACTTTCTTGAACAAAGGGAAACTTTTGTCTTCCTTGATTTTGTTTTCTGCCCGGAATATATACTAACTTTGTGGCCTCAGACTTCCCGAATCACAAAGTGCTGCACACTGTGCTTGAAGATGGTCTGAGATTCTCAGGTGTGTAGGGACGCAGTGAAGTGAATGAGGCTGGCCGTACTCCTCCCTCAGCTTCCCTGCCGACTTCACGCAGATTAACCTGCCATCAGCAGCAGTACCCGCAAGTTTGGGCATCACATACTTTGTTACACCTGTGATTTGGTAGCATCCGTAATAGTTTTCAGAAGCTTTTTCATATACTCCCCTAAGCATTTGAGTTATAAGGATTGTATAAAGGTATCGCATTTTAGAGATGAAAAGACCACTTTGCAGTTCAGCAAAGAGTTAATGTGCCTATGAATCTATGGTTGGTGTTAACAGTTTACTTGCGACTAAACTTTTCTTGGTTTTTTTTTGTGTATGTTTTTTTTTTTTTTTGGTTTGTTTTTTGTCTTAGCCTAAATTATTTTTTACTTTGGGTTATTTTTATGGTTTTGTTTATGGGTATTTATGTTCCAGTGCCATATGAATCCTACATAAACGTTTATGGTTGCTTTTTTTTTTTTTCTTGCCACCAACTGATCTGATAGCTTTATACATTTTATTGCAGCTATCAGCAACAAACTTCTAGACACTGAGCCACCATAATAAAGATGCATTTGAATATCATGTGTGCTTTAGAGTGGTTGCTTAGGTAACTTCATTCTGGTCATCAATAGTCCTAAAATTAAGGAAGCAATATTCTTTATTTAACTTCTGTGCCAATCGTTTCAATTGCATTTTATGCTGGGATTATTTTTCCTTAGCATATTATGTGTAGCGCTTATGGGGCAAGATTTCTTTGGTTAACATTAGCAATAACGAAAAGGAAGTCATACCTTGGAATCAAGAAAATTGTTAAAGGTTTTAATTAGCATGAGCCCATTGAAGAGTCCAGGATGAGTTTGTGTATGTTCTTTCATGAATAAAGCTGAAAAGCTGTCCGCTATCTTGACCTGTGCTAAATCTAACCTCTTCTATGTGGGCCCAAATCACCGAGAGATGGTGATGAGTATGTGTTTGAGGCAATATTGGTATTGCTTTCATGTGAAGGTGAATGGACATCCTGATGCAATGTTAGTTGTTTTTCTCTTTAGCCATACAAACAGTATGGTATTGTGTACCTGTGAATGCAGTTCTTTGTGTCTGGGACAACACAGTATGATAGGAAATAAAAATTGGAGATTAGTTGCTTATTTTAGACCTAAAGCATCCCAACTGGATAATCAAGAACATAATCCACTTGAGCCTAAATTATTATGATTGTATTGCTACATCGATCGAAATAACTGGATATTTGCCCATTGTAAATAGAATTCGTTCTGAGAAGAGCTGTTTGGAGGGCAGTTATGTGCTTTTAAGTAAGTTATGATATTTTTATTGTTTGGTATGCTTTGAATATTAAAATATGCAAGAGATGAGAATCATAAGTTCTATCTTATAGGCATGTGCATGTGGAAAGCTGGACTTTTGGATGTAAAATTACAGTAGTTAGCTACTCTTGTTTGGTCAAACACTATATTCTTTTTCTTGTTCCTTATAGAAGGTTAGGGTCACATTGATCAGACACCTCATGCTTATCTTGATTAGAAATAAACTTAATATGACATGAATCTGTGTGTCTCATTTAGTCAATTATTATGAGAATAAATGAAAATATGAGGCTAGGAGTTTTAGAAATAGTTATTAGATTATTTAGGGTACCTGAGCTTCTTAGTGCTAATTTTGAATTTGCTCTGTAAGTTGTTGTGTGACACCAAATTGCTGCTAGGGCTACTGGTAAGTTAACAGACTATGTCTTCACGGAAAGAGTATAAATGCCTCATTCTTTTCAACATTATCATTTTGTTGGTTAAGCTTGGAAATGCTTGTATTGCTTATTTTGCCCTCCTTTTATTACTGTGTTTAGTATTAATGACACAATTTATTTTTAGAAACTATTTCTCTGCTAAATCATTTTCAGAAAAAAAAAAACTCAGTTCAGTAAATTGTGCTCATAATGCTTGATTATGGATTGCCTATCTATCCTTTTATTCTCCAAGCACACATATTTTGTATTTGTGATATAAAGAATAATGTATAAATACCAGATAATTTATATAATAAGACACACATCAAAATGGCCCATGTCTGTTTGGAGACATACAACCCTGACGTCATGGTTTCAGGTGACCGTTTTACCCCTGTTTCTTGCACCTTATTTATATTTATATTTTCAGTAGAGGCTAGATTTTAATGTGAAGAACAGCAAAGTAGTTGGAGAGACGTATAGGACTGGTATCTGTTACGAGGATGTTTCATCGCTACCTGCTTAAAGGAAGAAGCACTGGGTTACAAACGCGTAACAATCGAGAAGCCAACCACAGGTTTAGAAAAGAACTTGGGTACCATGGCACATTGCTCAGTAACAGCGCAGAGGGTGGATACATTGCTGTGTTTATCCTCTCGTGCCAGTTTACCACCTTTGCTTCATTGCTGAAACATAGTTCTTGGAAATAGGTTTTGAGCTAGACACATTCGCCGGTGTTCTGTTTCCCCTCCCCTGCAGGCCACCTCTTGTTTATACCAGGATTGTGGTGCTTCACCCACACTAAAGACACGTATGCGCCGTTTCCGTTTTATCTGGGCAGGCTATGAACGACACGTCGTAACACATTCCTGTGAGAGAGGGGAACAGCGAATGGTTAGCAAAGTGGAATGCACAGACAAGAGCTGGGATGCATGCGTTTCTTGTGTTTGTCAGATGTGTCTCTCTCTTGTGATTACTCTCATCCAGATTATAGGAGTTCCTCCCAATGACGGGAGAATTCTAAAGGTCTCTTTCCATGGAGAATTCCGTAGTGACGTTATGGAAAAATATACAGTGTGTAGAAGGATGATGCTCCAGGCAGAGTGAGTGCTGCTGTGGTGCAGGCTGTGGACAATCGTGGTGCTGCCTCACGGTCAGGGTTGGGACCTGCAGGTCAGCCTGGGATGTCTGTGAGCAGCTTTTTGGTTTCACGTGAGGCATCTCAGGTGGAAGGATGGTGTAAAATACGGAAAGGGTATTAAGAGATACAAACTTCCAATTGTAAGTAAGTCACAGGGATGAAAACTACAGCATAGGGAATATGGTTAATATTGTAATGATGTTGTATGGTGACAGATGGTGACGACAGTAGGGTGGTGAGCAATGAGTAGTGTATAGAGTAATGTATTAGGGTGTTGTACATCTGAAACTAATATAACATTGCACTTCACTAAAAGAATTTTAAAAAGAACGGGCCTCTGTAGGCTTCATTTGATATCAAGTACATTTTAAACATCCATATGGACACAGTATATGCCTTACCAGTTTTTCAACTCACAACGCTGTTTTTTCATAAGCAAGTGATTAAGTTAGAGTCGTTATGCCATTTTATGTATTTGAGAACACTTTATTTGAAAGCTCATAAGATACGAGTCTCGGCCACATTTAATTTTCGGGCTTTCTAGGCTCCATCCGGGCAGGCCTTAACTAAGATTGGAATGAGAAGTAACCCACTTTCTTAAGAAGAGACCCACTGAGCTCCAGCTTGCCTTGGGTTCGGGAGGTTTCTTGAGACATTGGTAGAGGTGCTAGCCCAGAACGCAGTTTTGGCTTTGGTTGATGAGGCCCAACCACTGCTCCCTTCTCGCTCTGTTCCACAGGGCAGAATCCTTGTTCTGGACGCAGCATTGGCTGTGGAGGACGGCCGAGCTAGAACCCAGGGGGCAGGGACACACATTCCAAATCCGGTGTCTGGCCAGCATGCTGCCCACTAGACAGGATACATCACGTTTTGTCCAGCAGCTGACATTCCTGCATTTGAAAAACAAAATATCTAGGGCACCTTGGGGCCAGTATTTCAAATGGTCTGGAATGCCGGCCTCTCACCAGCAGAACTGCTCACAATGACCAATAATTTTGCTATTACTGCAGCAGCTATTTATGCTTCAATGGCCAGAAAAGAAAATCAAAATATTTTCCTCATTCACTACCTTGGTGGGATGAATGTGTTTTTGGATGGAGCAAACCTGTGCCCTCACCTTACCTCACCTGCCCTCTCCTCTGTCCTTTGCCCTCACCTCACCTCGCCTGTCCTTTCCTCTGTCCTGTGCCCTCACCTCACCTGTCCTCTCCTCTGTCCTGTGTTCCTCTCCTCTCTTCATTTCCCATGTGCTCACTCTCCTTCCAGTTGCTTTTTCCTTTTAATTTCTTCTTTTAAAGACAGACCTAAATGTGAAGGTAAGTTTTCCCTGAGATGATGCTCAGTTTCGTTGTAAAAGATAAAATGACGTCTTTTGGAGAAGAGAGCAGATTCCAGTCTGGTTTGGGTGCGTGTTACGCACATGCTCTTGAAAGGGTGCTTTTAAACTTGTGTGCCATGGGGTCCAATATGTTGCTGTGTATGTGGTGTGGCAAAAGGTGAGTCTTTAAGGACCGACTGCTCTGTTCTTGAAGAGCAAGAGGGGCCCACTGGCCCTTCCTACAGAAAGATGCAGTGGGAGATGTCAGCCCCATAAGACGATTGCCCATGCTGATTGGCTTGACCTAGACTTGCCTTTGGAAGCTGTTTGTGAAGTCTGTCTGTTTCATAAGAGTACAGGTACCCATAAGAAAGGGGAAGGACTTGCTTCTTTGGGAGGAATTGAGCCACAGACAGTTACTAGTCTGTTAGTGGCGAGTTAGCTGACATTTTCTGTATTAACTCAGTGCATTTGTCTCTTTAGGATTGTCCAATCTGGTTAACCTTGAGGGTGTCAATATCCACCCCCCCCCCCCCCCGCTCCTTGAACTCCATTATCAAAAATAATTTTTGACATTTTTTAAATGTTTATTTTTGAGAGAGAGCGAGAGTGCAGGGGAGGGCAGAGAGAGAGGGAGACAGGA